GTCTGGATGAGATAGGGGCTACTTTGATCTAAGAGAAAGCAATATTCTATATGCTGCAATGCTCCGTTAGGAAACATTATGAATAATTTCTCCAAGATATTCTAACACCTAGATAGATGCAGCACTTTCTGAATTTACATTTAGAATCATTCCCTGCCACTCAGACACTGCTATTTTGTTAGTAACATAATTAACAGGGAGCATTCAGAATTTTGAGGAGGACACGATATTACCAGCTTTCTGCACACACAGCACTTTCCTACTTTGAAGAGAAATACATACATCCTCTTACTAGTCACAGAGTTTTAACACGGAAGGCATTTGGGACAATTTTATCAGATCCTGCTCTTACTACCACCTTTCGTAAGATCCAGTCTCTAGAACATTTTTACAGATTTGGTTATGAACATGGGAGCCAATAGCATATTTAGCTCATACACTATTTAGTTCTTTTAAAATCTCAAAATGAGATATTTGAATCGCCAAGAACAGAATCGTACTCAAATGTTTTTAAATTATGTATCTAAATATTGTACTTGCTCAACTGGTAGCCTGGTTTTCTGCCTTAATATCTTAAACAAGCAGAAAATGTATTTTCTGCCATGCTTTAAGTCTACAAAAGCACAAAGGCCCTTTCAACATGCAGACTTGGGATACCTTAATCCATTCTTTGTCAGCTTAAACTTCCCACTTCTCAGTCATTTTTACAGGTCTCCCTGGCACAAGCCTTTACACCAATGGCCTTTTTGTTAGGACGACTGCTTTCTTACCCAAAGCCTTTCCTGTTACAGATTTGGGCTCCTGGAAAGCCAAGCACAGGGTGAATTCCCAGCACAAGGCTTTCACCTCATGTGATAATAGTAAAATATTTTTCCAGGTGTCAATTTCCAGCAACAGAAAAGGAACACACAGCAAAGTTCATGTCACTGTGTCAAAATAAAAGTTCTACTGCAAATTTGAGCAATTGCCTTACAGCAAGTTTTGTATTCCTTAAAGACAACAGACTAGTTTTTGAAGAGAATGAATGGTCTATCATTTTTTTTTCTCCATTTTTTTTTCAGTGGACATGAAAGAGCTTAGGCCTAGCAGACAAATTTGCCAGCAGCACATCTCTGCAGAGTCCTTGCAAGGTTGGAATTAATATATGTCTTCTTTGTGATGGACATGCACTTGCCTTCATTATTCTGATCACTCTCTCATTCAAGTCTAAGTGTTTTGAAACTGTTAACTACTTTTTAAGACCACACTCATACCTTTTATCATCTTCACAGTGATGTCCAATCCTGATGGAAAGCTTTGAGACATGATCAGGACAGTATGAAATGCTTTTGCCCCAGTTCTGTCTTCAGTAACCACGCTCTTGTGAGATGGTCTAATGTGGGCAGAGGATCTGACAAACTGCGCCCCCTGGGCTGGAATTTACTTTACACTCTGATCTCCAAAGAGGAAACACAACAGAAGGGTTTATCCTACAGCCCAGATTACCTCAAGGATCTTGTCTCCTGTCCTTCCTCACTTTGCTCTCTCTGTGTTTAAAGGCTCTTTTCTCCCAGCAAGTACTGTTAATTCAGAGCCTGTTTTCTTTCTCTATGCCATTCAATGCTTTGTATGTTCCAAATGAGAACCATCTTGTCTACTTATTTCCTCAGTCCAGCTCTCACTGCTTTCATTTAACTATGTGCCTGCATTATTTACATTTTAATGAAAGTTATAGAAAAGAATATACTGCGCTAATATTAATCACTACTAATCACACTCGCCAAGTAAACATGCCGTCTTTCATACATGATTTGTTTCCCCTCTCAGACACATACCAGGCAGATAATTCTCACCAGAGCCAGAAGCTCTAAAAGCTGGCTAAGTAATGACGAGCAGTTATAGATACAAACCACTAACATTTTGACTTTAGAGAAACTTGACATTTTGGAGCATTCTGGCATGTTAAAGCGATACTTTCTTGATTGATTTCATGAGAAAAGCAGCACTGCAGTAAGCAGAACTATGGCAAGTGAAGGCAAGCTACAAGCTGGGATATAGATGATAAAACCACTAGAGTTCACTATAAGAAAGGAAAAGAAAGATTGTTCTATCTGTGATTAGAACAACACATCATTTCTACCCATGTGGTACACCTAGACAGTATTAACATTTGGTCACCATCACCTCAACAAATGCCTGTGTTGTAAATTTTGACATTTTCTGGTGCCTTCTTGTTATCACCTCTCAATGTGCAAAGTTTCAAGGAAACTGTAATGTAGCATATTAAGAAAACCACAACTATGTTTCTTTACCTTGGAAGTTTATCTAGCAGAGTCTTCAGCTCATCACATATAAGCTTAACAAGGCCACTGTTTATGTTTCTATATGAAACATCAATCATGAAGATATAAGCAGGTGGTTTCGGAGGCTTGTTGTTCTACAGAAAAAAAAAAAACCCACAGGAAAAATTAGACAGTACCCTATTATGTCCAATAAATACAATTTAGAGATTGTACCATCCAGGCAATCTAAAAACTGCGTTCAGTAATGCTGTGTATCATAAATAGTAATTATTACAGTAAGATGTTTCATGGGTTGAGATGGGTAAAGACCATCCTTAGAATAAAACATGATTACCAGAAAATAACATTCTAATGGAATAAAATATGAAAAGAGTGACAATTTACTAGACAAAATGAAACACTAACATTTTCTGTAGGGATTCAAGTATTTAAATAAATTTTTCTTCTGCTCTTTTCTGTATTCCATACTCTTTTATGATTCCCTGTATCCTTACATATCTCATTTTGTTAATATGAATATTTAATTTTCACTAGCATTTGCCTCTAACTACTGTTAAATGATTACTAAACTAAACTGAAAACAGAAATATGGCTTAGCTGTTAAACCAAAGTTAAAGTATCTCAGTCCTTTGCAGTGCTAAGAGGCACTCATCAACATTGTGGCTGGTTCATGCACCAGTGCACCATGGATATCTGAGAAAACTATACTTTTAAGAATAAACTCTTCTTCCATAAGATATATAAAGCATGGACTAACGCTCAGTGTATGTAGCTGCAGAACACACAGCAGTGACTTGGAACGGTATGTATTCCTTTGGGCATAACTTCTTGCTCATAAGCTCTTACTCAAAATGCAAGTGGCACTAATCACACACATGCAGTACTGTGACAACTGTCTATAAATAACAAGCAGCAAACTGTAGTTTTCCTTCCTCAGTAAAGTAACGTAACACAGATGTACCCAGAAAAACCAAGAATAACAGCAATCTTCATAGGCCTTGCTATAAGCCTAAGAACAGTTTTCCATCTTTCTATTAAACAAGTAGTGGTCATTAATTGGTGTCAAATGCTGGTCAACTTGCCCTTACAGTCATGTAAACTATTTCACAGCCTTCACGCAAGTTCTGGCCACTTGAGTTATACTTACTATAAATCAAACCCAGAAAACTAACCTTTTAATTATGACTCATCCACAGTATGCAGCACGCTTTACACTAAATTTCATATTATATCCTTGGTCTCACTTCATTTGAATTGGGTAATACAAGATAAACTTGAGTGAAATAAAACCAGGTGTGTTTTTTTAAAGCTATTTTCTGTATTTGGATGCAAATTTCAAAAGCTGTATCAAACATTATTTTCTAAACTGACATACCACACCACCATTTATAAAGAATCCTAGACTAATTTCTGACATACATATGGTAGAAAAAAGAATTGTGCTCTTGCAACATCCGCTTAGCAGAAGCACAGTAATGCAAAACAGCTGTTATTTGCTAATTTTTGTAGCTGTTCATCCTTGTCATTTGATAAGCACAAAAGGAAATGACTTTCCAGTTTAGGTTTTAAACTAGATGTAGAAAAAAAATTAAAGTTTGCTAACTTAGAGCAAAATAAAAAAAAATTACAAAATAACCAAGATAATATTGCTAACTTTTCTATAGCCCATGACTTTGCACTAGCAGTGGAAGTCTCTACTTATTAACAGATTTAACAGATTTCATTCTCTCTCTCTCTTTTTTTTTTTTTTAAGCATTCTGTAAGTTTATACAACAAGGTCTTTGCAACAGAAAGAAAGACTGTGCTGGACTAATCAAATAAACTCCCTGGTTTGAACTGTATGACAAAAGCTTCTGCACTGAAACCTGCATTACACAGGATCACGCTCTGGAGCAGACAAGAAGGACTGTCAAAATGACACGGAGCCTTCAGCACACTTGAGTTCTCCAAAGCTTCACTGACTTTTGGTGGCACTACACCAGATGAGCACTAACCAAGGGTCCCTTCTTCTACTTCTGTAATGCCTCACTACAACTCCTCAGTTCTCTCCTGCTCTGGGGTTAACCCAGACCTCAAAGAAATCCATAAAGCAGATCTTCATGATCCCACTGGACTTTACACCAGTCCCCTTCCGAGAGACCAGAACTAAACAGCTGTTCATTTCTTATGGAAGAGCAGTAACTTGCTGGTCTGAAATCTGTGGATGTTACTGGTATCTACTTCAAGACTTCATAGAATACAACTGCCTTAATTCTATCGCAATCTCAATCCATTGACATTTATTGCACTGACAGGAAGAAAATTCTTGCCTGTCGGCAAGAACTGAAAAATACATCCATACTGCAGAGAGACAGTTACACTTACAATCTGTAAGCCAATCTAAGATTTCTAAAGTAATTTATACTTCAGGAAGTATCAAATAAAGTTCTCTAATAAAATCATTTACAAATACTTGCAGTGACTTGAGCACTCTTTGGACAAAATCCTTAAGTGAGTTTACAAAAAAAGAAAGCAAACCCATGCCACTTGAACTTAATTTTTGGTCAAAACACTAAAACCATATGTCAGGGAGGGAAAAAAAAAAAGGGAAGTCAAATTCCCATGCTAAGGTTTCAAACTTTAGGTAATTTAGATACGTATCCGTCTTCAAAATTAACAAAAGACATGCAGCTAAAATTCAACATTGCTTTGGAATTTCAGCTATATCCTCTAGACAGTGCAGCCACTTGCAAGGACACAAGCAATGCCCCAGCTGAACACCAGCGACCCATGGCCTTGCTGCACTGCTATTCTGACTTAACAGTCTGATATCAGTGGCATGAGAGAGCAAAATGCAGTATTGTAAGCTTGAACACTGTACATCTATCTATGTTTTCTAAAATGTTCCTAGGCTGTGCCATTCAGCTTACAGGTGTGTTTGTTCTAATGCTGGTATTTAAAGGACTTTGTTTGTTTAGACCTAAAGTTATAATTTTGCATATTGGAAATACTCACCCGGCAATAATCCAAGGTAGCAACATATTCATAAGATCCTAGAGATAACTCAGGCCTTTCATAGTGGTCCACCCGTTGGCCAATGTGGTCCAGATGTTGAAAGAAGAATGGAGGGACTAAAAAGTCAAAATGAGAGGGTAAAAAAATGATTTTTGCTTTGTGGTGAGGAGAACAACCCAACAATTCTTTCAATAAATGCAGTGAACTAATGAAGGCTCTTCTTTTGCTGATGAAAGGATGTGTGTAAATGCTTAGCAAGATTGCAATTGATTTTAGATCAATTTGGTTTATGGAAAAAATTAAAACACCATAGTAATGTACTCTCCTCTTGAATGTGCAAGACAAGCCATATTTCCCTATAAATGGCAATGTTCTTCCAGTTTTACATTATTCAAACCTAAGCAGGTAGAATGTACAGGTTATTTCCACAGGCAGGAGTCTGCCATTCTCAGGTTATAGGCTAACAGCAGCTACTTTGTTAGGAGATATGCCCATTCAAAACTTAATTCAGATCTCAGAAGCCTGAAGAGGAACAGAGTTAATTGCTGGACTTTTCTGCAACTTGGGCCACATTAACCAAAATATTGCTTCATCGGGATTAGTGCTACAAGGTTCACAACCCTGCCTGCTCTACAGCAAGCTCACCCAGTCCATCATACTGGGATACCTCTGTAACTGCAGACAAAATATGCAGAACTCAACTCCAAGGAACCATTAGGAAATCAAGCAGCTTTGCCACCAACAACATATATGCAGCTAGTCCAATGGCTAAAGTCAGACTGAGGAAGTCACCTCTGGATTTTAACCCCTCATTCCTTGACCAATATGCATTTAAAATATTTATTTTTTAGGTTTTTGCTGTCTGTTAAAAAACAAGGGGGAGGGGTACTTACCTAGTTCATAGGATATTTTTAGGCCTTACTAAAGTTTTTCTTTAAATGCTTTCAGACTTAGATGAATGGCACTGTACAGAGCAAGATTTAAACTGACACTTCAGTTAAAATCTGTTACTTAAAATGCCCATAACGTATTCAAACTTATGTTTACAAGAGTTTAAATCACTAACAAATTATGAAATTTGTTATCTTAGACAAGCATTTGGGCCTCAGGCAGAAAAGAAGTTGGAATGAGTCTGTCAAGGTTCACATTTCAGAGTTGAGAAGATTACTGTATTAGGGAAAGCACTTACTGCTGGGATCCAGCTGAGGAAATCCAACTTGATACAAATGGCTAGAAAGGCTAGCTCTGGCAAAGATTTGGGACTTAGCCAAAAGCACAAGAGCACTTATGAGTCACATGCAGCACACTTGAACAAATATGGCATGGTATCTTCTGTGAAAACCAACACGTGTCACTGTAAGATTAATAGGCTATTTAACTGTTGAATCCACAGTCATGGACAGGACTATTCTGATACAGTTCTAAATATTTGGTTCTCATTTTAACAGTTAAATTTCTTTAAAGGAATTCATGTTTCTACACAAAAGTTGTTTTCAGTTAGCAACATACAATACAGCAACTTTGTAACCTGCGGTGACATTGTTTTTAAATAACATTTTGACCATATCAGACTGGACTTCATGACTCAGCATTGTTATTTTTTCTTACATTTCTTTTTTAAACTTGTACAGAACAAATGTTTATAGGTATCTTCTTGGCTGTTAATTTTTTTTTCATTTTAAAATAGGCCTAGTTACTGCGTCACACTGAATTACTTTCAAGTCAGCAAGTCAAGAAAGTCATTTCATGGATAATAGTTTCATTTTAGCTTTACTACACTTTAGCATTACTATGGCATTACTATGAATCATAGGTTAGAGAAAGGACCCTTACCATCATTTACACAATTGCAAAATCCACACTGGTATCTTCTTCCACCTTCAATGAACTGCATGAAGGGACACATATAAGCTTTGCACCTGTTGCATCGGATCGGTCCAGTCTCCCCGTGGTTTACAAGATATAGAGGTGTCTAGATAAAAAAAGTATACGATGTTGTAAGAAGCAATGCAAACTTGAAACCAAATAAAGCCAGCTGCTGCTCTGACTTAACTCTTATCAGACACCACCTGGATCAAGAGATCACTGTTCAGCATTTTCCCAAATTCTGCAGTACGGTTGGCTCAAGCTCATAGGTCTCACGCAGTCTGTAGGAGACAGAATATTCATATTTGGCCATACAATAATATTTTTCCCCCTTCAGCTTTATTTCAGATCCTGAGCAGGATTAGGTGAACTGTTGCAGCCAGACTAGAAAGAGAACTTGTCTAAACTGCAGTAACCCTCTTTTCACTTAAATGAACAATGCATCTTGCTTAGGAAAAGAAGAAACAAAACGTCATTGGCACCTTCCAGCACGAATGACAAGAGCTAAACTGAGCGCTTCACAGGCCTATTCTGCTATTTATCACAAAAGGAAACAAGGATTCACACCAAAAACTACAATAAGAGCTCATCTAGCTTTGCAGCAGTGCCAGATAGGAGCCAGCCCAGCCTACAGAACTGTGAAGGCTCTGGAAATTCAGCACTCTGGCTGGCTGCTTCTCCAAAGGGGTTCTACAAGTTGCCAGGAGAGCTGCTGGCCTCAGCTATTTCGCTCTATCGGGCTGTACCTTCCCCAAGGAAGTCTATCTGGTGCTCATCTGTTGCACGTGCCTCTCTCAAACAAGCATTTGCTAAGAAAGCTTCTACTATTTTCTCCTAAGTATCTCCCCTGCTAACAGTGCCATGTTATGTGCTCTGCTAAGGTTTATATGTTGTCAGGGTTACCAGCTGGAGAAGATTTAGAAGCAATACTAATATTTATTGAAGGAGAGAACATAGAGCAAACAAACAGAGCATCTCAAACGCTCGTCAGTTTAATTACATTGACCACTCTGCTTGCTTATAGTCCCTGCTGGAACCACAGCTCACAGAGAACATTTCCCAGATGGCTCTTTCACTAATAACTGTGCAGCACTTGGAAGATTCCTGTGATTATAATTCATGTGTATGAGAAGTCATACTTAAAACCATTATACAAATCGAAATTTTTGATCATCTCTGAAGCTTTACTAAGCACAAATGTTTTCTGCATTTGTTTTTTTTTTTTTCCTTAACTCCTCTCCATCCCCACTAAACACCTCTGAGCATAAGAATAAAAAATTAAATCCAGATTTGGAACACAAGACAGATTTCCACAAGAGGAAAAATGCTGACAGTCTCTGAACGCTAAAACTTCCCACTAGCATATTCATTTATTTTTTTTTTTAATCTGCCTCTTCTTATAGAACACACATATTTCATCTATTATACACTTTTATCTTTTATCGGACCATAACAGTCTCTGAATAACTAGAAAATTGTACCTGTCCTTTTAGCATTCGCTGGTTACAGCACATTTTATTGTTTGTTTATACTTTATGGAGACACTTATTTTACTCCTTTCTCTCTCTCATGGACTTAATGCTTTTGCCCAGGATTTTATACACAGGAATAGATTTTACTGCATAGGTTTTAAGTGTTCCCTCCTGCTCTGCTGAGGTATAATTTTACTTTTTGCCCTTTCTTCTCTGAAAGTCAAGTTTAACACAAATAAACCAACAATGTCAGCTGGTAAACTATCAGGGTCACTTCTCAGATATGAGACTCCAGGCTATAAAACCTGTTCATCAGCCTTGATCATTTAGTAGTACTTAAAACTTCTGGGTTTTGCTCATTACTAGGCAATTTTCTGCTTATCATTCTTTTGTTTTAGTTTAATGAGGCCTGGATCTTGTTTGCAGGTAATGTTATTACAGCATCTGAACTGGTACAGAAAAACAAAGTCTATTCCTGATGTTATTATACACACTGTTTCAGTAATTTTAAATCCAAATTTGAAACATTTAGTATCATCCAAGAACAATTTTTACTATGCATTTAAAAAATAAACTTTTGGAGACAGCAAAAAGATTTTTTTTTTTCTTCTCTTTTCATTTTGGAGTGGAAAATTTATTTTCCCTCCCTCTTTAAGCTTTTTTAAAACAAACCAAAACAGTCAATGGGAAGTTCCTTTTGAATATGCAGGTTTAGAGCCCCAGTAAACAAAGGCTGCAAAGATTTATGTACATGTTTACCTCTGTGTATCAAACGGTTGTCTTCAAGTCAGTCAGAGTATGTACAGTGCATAAAGTTAAGTCATGTGCTCAAGGCTTAAAAAAAACAGCAGTATCCGCAGGCAGTGTTCTCTAAACTTTTACTAGGTTGGATTCTGCATTGTCTAACACAGAGAAATAAAGGATGAAATACCAATGAAATCAAATGACTGCAGCAGGTTGTTCTGATTCTTAATAAACTTGTAAAACCTTCAAAGGAAAATGCAACCAAGAAGCATATGCAATAGAATTTCCATCTCTATGGGAACTTAAAAAATTAAATAATGCACATGCATAAAAAAAAATAAAGTGAATACATAAAAAGAAACAGCGTCACCACCCAAAGCCAAAAGCAATGCTGCTAAGTAAGAAAGTCTTGTTTCATGTGCTCTACTCTCTGTAGATGTCACTGTATACCAGAAGACAGAAAAGATTTGCTTACGCTCCCCATCGTAGTGAGTAGCAAACTCCCAGAGAAGTGGTGGAATAAGAAAAAAATCCAAAAATCTTAGCGATTCCTTTTCTTTCTGAAAACCAGTGCAACATTCTTTTACTTTTGCCTTTCTGCCTATTAGGTAGGCAGTAGAATGCCTGAGCATTCTTTCATCTCTTTCCTTAAATCTCTAGTAATACAAACTGACTCAAGTTATATATCTATTAAATTATATATAGCATTAGCTATGCTTGGGTGTTATGTCCTTATACATCTCTTCATTCTTATCTCTTCACAACCCTTTTCTATTTGGAAAGCCAAAACAGGAGACAGGCAGAATCTCACAAAAACAGACTCTTAGATATTGTTTGGTGATCTTACAGCACTATCAAAATACGAACTCTTGCAAAAACAATGCTTAAAATAAATACATGATAGGCAAAATCTGAACTGGACTGGACACATGTAAGGGGTCCTACTACACCAACTGGAAGAATCAGTTCTGCTTGGAGGCAGGACATCGTGGTCTTTCGTTAAAGCAAATGGGGATTGGGCCGGAGGTGGGAAATGCTCTGACACACTTGCATAAACTTTCCCTTCTCTGGAAGCTCGGGGCCTCACTGTAGTACAAGTACTGAAAGCTGATCCTATAAACCATAACTTATCCCACTATTAGTCCAAATATAGCAGGGAACCCAAGAGTTTTATTTTGCACATATTTCAATGAGAACATCTTTTAGGATTCAGTAAAATATCAAAAAGCTATTGTTTAGATATTGGTGGCACAGCTCCAAAATGAAACACTTCCATATCATTTACCAAAAGAACTGTAACCTATGCTTTAATGTCTCAGAAAGCTGAATCACTAAGTGTGCTATTAAAGTAAAGATCTGACCCACTCCTGAGGGTTCCCTGCGATGCGAGCGAAGTATCACCTTATTCACATTGCAGGATCGGGGCCACATCTGGAAACAATTATTAAGTGTAGAAATAAGGCTGTGATAAAGCTCTAGATCATCATGGCACAGCTCAGGAAAGGTATTGTAACGGTAGATCCAAGAAGAGGAAGAGCCTCTTGTCTAGAGAAAGAGACATACACAAACGCCAAAGAAAACGAGCCATTTATCATGCATTTATCATGCAGCAAAGCAGTAAACCCCGCACACTATCTGTCTGCATTGCCGGCTTGCATGTATAGACCGTAATGCAGAGACACTTCATATTTGTGCTGCAGGCTGCAGCTCTGCATGGGCTCTCTGGGCATTTGCTTTCCCTATGTACCATGGCGAAGGCAGATCCCTAGCTGCTTCTCACCATATGCTCTAGCAGTGCAGCAGCGGGTCAGCAGTAGGGACCACATTTTTGCCCTTTGTTATACACTCCATCGCCATTCTGGTGCCTTCAACACTCCAGGATTCAAATGACAGGAGCACTATCACACCGAAACGTGGCCCACACAGCTTTCCAAGTCTGCCTGCGTCCAAGGGGAAAGCACTTCCAATGAGCACCACTTTCAAGGAGATCAGTGCCTGTCCCTCATACCCCTTCTTGTCCCTCCAAGAGGGGCAGTTTGCCACCAGTTGGTCTCTGTATTTGTGAGGATTGGTACCATAGCAAGCCACCTGGGAACAGTCCACACAAGGTAACGTTGCACACTACACATGGCAAGCTGCCGGCAGATTACATGAGGAGAGAAATGATTATGGCAACATATCCAGCCAAACACCCAGATTGAGAAGATCTAAGATTAAGATACTACCTAGCAGCCATTTTTAGATGCTGGCCATTGGTTTCCAAAGGAGATTAAATCTCATAGGTTTGGGGAGCTACAAAGAACCTCAGAATCTCAGGCTGGTAAACCTGTCTTTTGATGATTTCAGCTATGACAGTTGCTTAAAACTATACGCAGCAATACAAAACATTCTCTAGTTCGGATGTATAGTAAATATTAAACATTGTATTTGTACCTTTCAGTATCAGAAAACAGACATAAAACTACCAGCTATTCAATCCAAACAGCAATTCCCATCAACAAACTGTGCAGTTTGCCAGCTCAATGAGTAGCATTTCTAGAACTTAATAATTAACGCTGTCAAGCAAGTTTCTTTATTAAAATAGTTATATGGAGAATTTTAAGACAAACCATACACTTTCTGATGATCAGAGGAAAATAGCTGATTGAGTGTAGTACCACTGCTTTATCCAAATCTTACGTTTAACTATTACAGTAAATAGAGGAGGAAAAAATTCTCAGGATAATCAAAGAGGAGACTGAAATGTAAAATTTATGGGTTTTGGATTCATGCTATAGGGTTTTGTTTCTTTCCATGCAACAGTCTTTCTCCTAGTACTGCTGCATTTTTTTTTTCTTTTTTTCTTTTTTTTTTTCTTTTATTACATCATGATACACTTTTGGGAAAGATT